TCTATGCTTAGTTGCGTGCTATCGCGAGAATAGGGTCATGTGACCACGTCCCGCCAATCACGTCCCTTTATTATCCGCTACCCGGAAGTTACCGGGAGACGTGAGGGAAGCCCAAGCATTTGCTGCTGCAGGAGCCAACTTCCAGTGCCGGACCGCGACATATGAGCCAGGTGTTAGGATAAAAGTGGACTTGGCCAGGCTTTTTATGGTTGATGGCGAGCTACCGAAACAGGATTCTAGCCTGAAGAAGAAGTATCACTCCACCTGGAGATTCCTACCAGGAACCCCAACCTCCTGCTCTGTCCGGGCTGGTAGGAGGCTCTCGCAGCCACCCTCACAACTCACTCGCACCTTCATTCTCCGGCCCTCTCATGCTCATTCACTCACTCTTAGTCTCTCTCTCTGGTCTCTCTCTGGTCTCTCTCTCAAGTCTCTCTCTGGTCTCTCTCTGGTCTCTCTCTCTGGTCTCTCTCTGGTCTCTCTCTGGTCTCTCTCTGGTCTCTCTCTCTGGTCTCTCTCTGGTCTCTCTCTCTGGTCTCTCTCTGGTCTCTCTCTGGTTTCTCTCTCTGGTCTTTCTCTTGTCTCTCTTTTGTCACTCTCTCAAGTCTCTCTCTCCTGGTCTCTCTCTGGTCTCTCTCAAGTCTCTCTCTGGTCTCTCTCTCAAGTCTCTCTCTGGCCTCTCTCTGGTCTCTCTCTTGTCTCTCTCTGGCCTCTCTCTCTGGTCTCTCTCTGGTCTCTCTCTGGTCTCTCTCTGGTCTCTCTCTGGTCTCTCTCTGGTCTCTCTCTGGTCTCTCTCTCTGGCCTCTCTCTGGTCTCTCTCTGGTCTCTCCTCTCTGGCCTCTCTCTGGTTTTTCTCTGGTCTCTCTCTGGCCTCTCTCTGGTCTCTCTCTTGTCTCTCTCTGGCCTCTCTCTCTGGCCTCTCTCTGGTCTCTCTCTGGTCTCTCTCTGGCCTCTCTCTGGTCTCTCTCTGGCCTCTCTCTGGTCTCTCTCTGGTCTCTCTCTCTGGCCTCTCTCTGGTTTTTCTCTCTGGTCTCTCTCTGGTCTTTCTCTGGTCTCTCTCTGGTCTCTCTCTGGCCTCTCTCTGGTCTCTCTCTGGCCTCTCTCTGGTCTCTCTCTGGTCTCTCTCTGGTCTCTCTCTCTGGCCTCTCTCTGGTTTTTCTCTCTGGTCTCTCTCTGGTCTTTCTCTGGTCTCTCTCTGGTCTCTCTCTCTGGTCTCTCTCTGACCTCTCTCTGGTCTCTCTCTGGTCTCTCTCTGGCCTCTCTCTGGTTTTTCTCTCTGGTCTCTCTCTGGTCTCTCTCTGGTCTCTCTCTCTGGTCTCTCTCTGGTCTCTCTCTGGTCTCTCTCTCTAGTCTCTCTCTGGTCTCTCTCTCTGGTCTCTCTCTGGTCTCTCTCTGGTCTCTCTCTGGTCTCTCTCTGGTCTCTCTCTCTGGTCTCTCTCTGGTCTCTCTCTAGTCTCTCTCTGGCCTCTCTCTGGTCTCTCTCTGGTCTCTCTCTGGTCTCTCTCTGGTCTCTCTCTGGTCTCTCTCTCTGGTCTCTCCCTGCTCTCTCTCTGGTCTCTCTCTGGTTTTTCTCTCTGGTCTCTCTCTAGTCTCTCTCTCTGGTCTCTCTCTGGTCTCTCTCTGGTCTCTCTCTGGTCTCTCTCTGGTCTCTCTCTCTGGTCTCTCTCTAGTCTCTCTCTGGTCTCTCTCTCTGGTCTCTCTCTGGTCTCTCTTTGGTCTCTCTCTCTCTGGTCTCTCTCTGGTCTCTCTCTCTGGTCTCTCTCTCTGGTCTCTCTCTGGTCTCTCTCTCTGGTCTCTCTCTGATCTCTCTCTGGTCTCTCTCTCTGGTCTCTCTTTGGTCTCTCTGGTCTCTCTCTGGTCTCTCTCTCTGGTCTCTCTCTGGTTTCTCTCTCTGGTCTCTCTTTGGTCTCTCTCTGGTCTCTCTCTCTGGTCTCTCTCTGGTCTCTCTCTCTGGTCTCTCTCTGGTCTCTCTCTGGTCTCTCTCTGGTCTCTCTTTGGTCTCTCTCTCTGGTCTCTCTCTCTGGTCTCTCTCTCTGGTCTCTCTCTGATCTCTCTCTGGTCTCTCTCTCTGGTCTCTCTTTGGTCTCTCTCTTTGGTCTCTCTCTCTGGACTCTCTCTGGTCTCTCTCTCTGGTCTCTCTTTGGTCTCTCTCTGGTCTCTCTCTGGTCTCTCTCTGGTCTCTCTCTGGTCTCTCTCTGGTCTCTCTCTGGTCTCTCTCTGGTCTCTCTCTGGTCTCTCTCTGGTCTCTCTCTGGTCTCTCTCTGTCTCTCTCTGGTCTCTCTCTGGTCTCTCTCTCTGGTCTCTCTCTGGTCTCTCTCTCTGGTCTCTCTCTGGTCTCTCTCTCTGGTCTCTCTCTCTGGTCTCTCTCTGGTCTCTCTCTGGTCTCTCTCTCTGGTCTCTCTCTGGTCTCTCTCTCTGGTCTCTCTCTGGTCTCTCTCTCTGGTCTCTCTCTCTGGTCTCTCTCTGGTCTCTCTCTCTGGTCAAACAGTTCAAACACACAGGAACGGGATGACCACTAAGCAGGGCAGGGCCTGGTTAGTCTGTGATGGGAGACCTCTGGGAACAGCAGGTGCCACAGTGGGGCGGCTGCGGCTGTAAAGTGTCAGACTGTGGTTGTGTCCTTAGGCAAGACACTTCCCCCACATTAGAATGAGTCTGGTGTGTGTGTGAGTGGTTGGTGGTGGATTGGTCCTGGTGAACTATGACCTCAGAGTCTGATCTATGAGTCTCTGTGGTTTCTCAGGGGTTTAGACTGACTCTGCAGGATCATGTCCAGGTGTGCTGACTCCCCCTCTCTCTGTGTCTGTGTCTGTGTCTGTGTCTGTGTCTGTGTCTGTCTCTGTGTCTGTCTCTGTGTCTGTCTCTGTGTCTGTGTCTGTGTCTGTGTCTGTGTCTGTGTCTGTGTCTGTCTCTGTGTCTGTGTCTGTCTCTGTCTCTGTCTCTGTGTCTGTCTCTGTGTCTGTCTCTGTGTCTGTCTCTGTGTCTGTCTCTGTCTCTGTCTCTGTCTCTGTGTCTGTCTCTGCCTCTGTGTCTGTCTCTGTCTCTGTGTCTGTGTCTGTCTCTGTGTCTGTCTCTGTCTCTGTGTCTGTCTCTGTGTCTGTCTCTGTCTCTGTCTCTGTCTCTGTCTCTGTCTCTGTGTCTGTCTCTGCCTCTGTGTCTGTGTGTCTGTGTCTGTCTCTGTGTCTGTCTCTGTGTCTGTGTCTGTCTCTGTGTCTGTGTCTGTCTCTGTGTCTGTCTCTGTGTCTGTGTCTGTGTCTGTCTCTGTGTCTGTCTCTGTGTCTGTCTCTGTGTCTGTCTCTGTGTCTGTGTCTGTCTCTGTGTCTGTCTCTGTGTCTGTCTCTGTGTCTGTCTCTGTCTCTGTGTCTGTGTCTGTCTCTGTCTCTGTGTCTGTCTCTG